TATCTTGCAGTCTCTAACCAACATGCCTCCATTAAGGTTATCTTCTAGTTCTCCATTTAGGGTTTCTACCACCCACTTTGAGTTGATTTCCACAATAAGATTTGCAATGTTCAGGGACTTGGCCAGGAGCATCCCTTGACGAGCTCCCCATAACTCCACGGCAGCACAACTCGCCGTTCCTATTCGTAGCATAAAGCTGCTAACCAAGGATCCATTTTTATCTTGGACCGCACCACTCGCTGAAGTTAAACATGTGGTTGTTTTTCATGCACCATTTGTATTAAGAATCCAGAAACCTTCTGGTGGTTGTTTATCTAACCCAATGCGATATTCTTGTCACATGTCTGTGCGAAGACATAACAGCCTGACTAATATCCTTATAAAGGGAACATGCATAGATGACCGTATGATTTGGGTCAGCATTTTTATTGGAGAATATCATATCATTCTTATTCTTCTAGAGGCCCTTGCTGCCATAAAGATAGTGCCCCATTTTAAATCATCTCCCGTCACTCTACATGAACGAAAGTTTCTTTTCATCCCCGTAAAAATGCTATAATTCGTTCCTTTTTACTTAGGTTATTGGTTGTCTGAAAGCCCATTTCATTACATATAGTTGCATTTAGATCCATGTAGTTGCATTTAGATCCATGTAGTTGCATTTGGTGGTAATGTTTTGCTACAACATTTTATTACTAAAACGGATGCTACTTTAAGGGAAAGGTCATGTTTTGTTGATGATGTGAAGGTACCAGAAGCTGATAGGGAATTAGAGAACTGTTGAGCTGAAGGAGAGTTGAACAAATGCTACATCATTTCTGGATAGCACCTGGGCGCAGAAAAGGACAAAAAGGCTGAAGATATTTTGCTGCCAAGTTGTCTAGACACGCGTGAATGCTCTGCCCAGTTGTCCTTGTGAGGACCACATGCCATCCTATCCTACCCCTCACATAAATAGAATGATATCATAGGGTACAAATAGAATTTTGGGCACACAACCTTAAAAGAATTCCTTTGGTTTAAATAACTAAAGATACCCTAAATGGGAGAGAGCTTTTTGGAGGGTGAGATAAGATATAGAAGAAAGACGGCAACACAAAGTTCTCATTTTTCCTTTTTCCTTCCTTCATTTTATGGTGTTATCTATAGCCGAGCTCAAGGGGATAACAACTAGGCCTTTGAGAAAAGCCAAGTTGCTTAGGTAGTTCAAGGCGGCGATTCAAGCTCACGACAACAGTTCAAGTGTTGGGAGTTTTCTTTTCCCTTTAAGCTTTCATTTCTATATTTTGATTGTGGGTTTATAATAGAACGGATGATGATAGATGATTTGAGCCCCACCGTGAACTAACTTATTTGGTGTGGGTTTGTTTGGATGATTTTATTTTGTTTCGAATGAATGGTTTATGTTTTCATGTTTATTTGCTTTCTTTGTTCATTGTGCAAATGTTTAAATACTTAGACTTGTAAGAGCTTTCAAGAGTTAGCCATTTTCTAAGCTTGATGCTTAATATCGAGAGAGTTAGGCTAGATCAACGTGAGCAATGGAGCTAAGCTAGGAAGCAAGGCTCTAACCTGTCTTAGAGATAAGGAAAATGTTTCAACGACTAAAAATGGTAAGACTTAGTCGATAGGAACTTGTTGTAGTTTACGCTGAGAGATGTTGTCGTAGCATTTTCCTTATCAAGTTCCTTTCTAGAGATAGCCTAGGAACAATCTAGAAAACTCTCTCGAGCAGTAAACCATGGAGGCTGTAAATTATTCTAGAGACAAGGTTTAGGATTCTTAGCAAACCCAACCATTTGTCCCAATTGTAGCTTGTTTGTGAGAGGTTGTCAAGTTATCTTATGTCATACTCCAGATTCAATGTTACTTTGTTATAGCATTTTTATTGTTTTGTCACAACATTTTGCATCACACTTTAATACATTGCCGCAACATTTCATACTCCATACCTACTTGTTTACCACAACATTCTTTCTCAACTATTCTTACCATCATATATCTATATTTATTTAATTATAATTAAGTGCAAAAACTAACTTGGAAATTCCTACAATCTCTGTGGAGACGATACTCACTCATTACTATATTACTTGTTCGATTGGATATACTTGCACATATTTACATGTCATAGCATAGGACATTCACACACGCAACAGTTTCCATCCATGAAGGAGCATTTTTCCCCGAAATGAAACGTTGAGATCAAAATGCTCCAAAATAAAATATGTGCAAAAATGATTATTTTGATAAACTTTGAGTTGTTAATTTTGGTATTATGTCTTCAATTTTTGGCACTAAACTTTTTCGACTGTTGATAACAACTAATCGGCACCCAACATCGATCTATATTTGGAACAAGATCGATATCAAAATGTTCAAATTTCACTTCTCTTTCTTCTCATATGATTGATTTTCGACGAAACCCACTCAAAGTTGACAAAAATCTACCTAAAGGTTTGACGTGCTAATACTTCGATCTCTTCAATGGTCACTCGATTAGGCTAGTTTTGAGGCATGCTAATCTTTTCAAAATAATACTCCTCACCATTTAGATTTTCGAATAAACACTCAAACCCCTCAAATATGAGAAATCCCATAAATCCCTAAAAATGAGAGTTTTTTTTTATTTTCACTAATTTTTGGTGGGTTTCATGAAAAACTAATCATAAAAGAAAAAATATGAGTAAAATAAAAATATTTTGATACTGATCTTGCCACAAAAGATGGCAAATGACTGGTGATAATATCTTTGCCAACGGCGATCGAAAAAGTAGAATGTAAAAAAAATGACATGTTTAAAAATTTAATGACAAAATTGATACACACCAAAAGTTTAATACCTAATACAACGTCAGTTTAGATATTAAGAGCTCTGTCAAAATGATGTTGCTTTGTCATATTATCACATTGTTTGAATTTTAACAATCCAATGATAAATTAAAGTTAAAATTAAAATCAAAGTTTAATGTTATAACTAGAGCAATTAAAAATATACCGGTATAAATTATTTTTCTATTAAAATTCAATGGTATATGATATAATTTACTTAAAAAAAATGTATAATGTCAAAAAATATCTCTATTATACTGGGTCTCGAACCCTGCCCAGGTTAAAATGACAAGCACCTAATCATTGTGGACAAAGAGGAGACCGGTTCAAAATAAGTTATTTTTGAAATACTTTCACTCATAACATTTTATTTTAGGATAAATAAATAAATAAATATATATATATATATAATGTTTAACTAAATAATCATATTAGTCCTTAAATTTTTTGGAGCATTTTAACCCCTAATGCTTCAGTGTAGAATAAAAAGACTTATTTTAAAACTTTTACAGTTGTTAACTAGAGGTGGGTATACGGGCTACCCGCCCGTTTAGCCCGTGGGTTTTGACGGTGCGGGCTTAAACGGAGCGGGCTTAAAAGCCCGTATTCATAAACGATTTTGAATTTTAAGGCCCGCGGCCCATCCATTTAACCCGCGGGCTAAACGGGCTTACCCGCGGCCCGTTTAATAAAAATAATTTTAAATGCTTTAAATGCAATAAAAAATAATGTCTTAACTTACTACACCTTTAAAAATGATCGAACAACTTGAAAAGGAAGGTAACACCGTCAAAATAATAAATAATATTTAAATTTTATTTTAAATTTTATTTTAAATAGCCGAAAATGATTATAAAATAATATTTTTTTTATTTTTTAATCATTAATATGTATATATATATATATATAATGATATAATTACTTAAACTCAAATTAAAAAAAAACAATATTCACTTATATGACCAAATTGAAAAACAAATAAAACAATAACCACATTATACTTTTATAAAACACGATTATTCAAGGCTATAATATGAAGACATATAAGTGTCTGAAAGCAGAAATTCAAACATAAAAATTCAACAAAGTCAAACATTATACAAATCTAACAAGAAAGTTGTTAAGTGTTCCTAATAATTGTATTTTATGGATACTTTAGAGAAATACTAAAACATAATATGAAAATATAAAATAAAATACTTACGGTATAAGAGTAAATTTGAAAGATACAGTTATACTAAAATTGATAAAATATAAGTCATTAATTTGTTAAAATATATTTATTTTGTAAAAGTCTTTAAAAGTTGAAAAGTATGTTTTCAATTTTTTCTTTTATTTTTGTTTCTTATTTTTAATCCAAATATTACGTGTCATATGATATATTATTAGAATATCACGTGATTTTTTATAATTAAAGAACAAAATGGATAACATACTTCATGAAAAAAATAAAAGTCAAAATTAAATAAAAAAATTTTTAAATACCAAAATGATAATGATGTATATTTAAATGAAAAAAATATTAAACAACGGTAAAATTATGACAAACGCCCTAATAAATTTAAGAACTACAATAGTTATAAGTAACATCATATTTATAGGTAATTTATTTTCTTTTTCTATAAAATTCTTTAAGTTTATTTTCTCTAAAAAATTTTAAATTTTAAATTAAGCGGGCTTTAGCGGGTTTAACGGGTAGCCCGCGGTTATACCCATTAAACCCGCCGGTTTAACGGCCCGGGCTATAAAGCTTACAATTTAAACGATCTTTAATTTTTGAAGCCCGAAGCCCGAACGGATCGCGGGTTAAACGGGTAGCCCGCAGGCCTTAGCCAATATATCCAGCTCTATTGTTAACTAATAATTTTTTTATCAACAGAAAAATCTTTTTGCTTTGGAAGGTAAAATACTCTAAAATATAATTTTTTTTACCTTATTATTTTTTGGAATAGAATAAAATACTCTAAAATATATAGAGTAAAATAACTATTTTTTTGTCATAATGTCATAATAAAAAGGAGCAGACAAAAAATCATATTCACTCTCTTGCTTTGTTCTAAAAAATGATAACATCTCTTTCAAGTCTTTTACTCCAACGACAAAAGAAAAAGAAGAATAAGAAATTTCCACCAACCTTGGAAATCATCAATAATGAAATTTCGGGGCGTCCGTGAAAGTTGATCGGAACTCGGATGAACAGAGGGAAGAACAATGAACAATCAATCTACGGGGTACATGGACTAATAATTCACACCGCTGAATTATCCCCTTTGTGAATCGCTGCAAATCTTGCAGAGAAATCGGGGAATCCAGCACCAGCTTCCCCCTGATCGAAATTAAGTTGATAGCTCCGAGGATCATACTGAAACTGCGTCATCATCGACCTCCTCCTCTTATTAATCCCATAACTACTAAACCTTCGAATGAAATTCTTCCACCTCGGCCCCGCCAAAATCTCCGATATCTCTCTAAGTTTCTTGGCTTTTCTCTTCACCCAACTCTCCCGTCTTACCTCTTCCGATTGCACCTGCACCATATACCCACTGGTGTTTCGTCGCCACCAGCAGAACCGGCCGAAACAACCGCATCCCGAAGACGACGACGTATCTTTGAAATAGTGGGTATACTCATCATCTCTTATTGGCCGTGTTTCGTTGACGTGTACCGGTTTTTCCTGTGGTTGTGGTGTGGCCATGGGAGGAAGCAGCAGCAGCAGAGTGATAAACTGATGAGGAAGTTGAGAGGCGAAGGCCCTCTGGACGATCTTTGAATTTGCTAATAATCAAGAAACTGGCATAAAAAGCTTTTGCCGCCTAATTACAGCTGCATGCCATTAAGATTAAGAAGAGCTAATCTGGCTTTCTTGCTAATATTAATTAGGATAACTACCTGTTTAGTCCCCTATCTATTATTTAGTTTCTGTTTTGGCTGCCTAAGCATTTTTCTTTAAAATCGTTTATAACGTTATGTTTTGGTTTTATTTTTGTCTCATGATATAAAAACTTTAGGTTAGGGAAAGCATTAATTAACTCACCTAGCATAATTAGTATAATAAAAAGTTTTTGCTTGCATTTGGATTTAAAATAACAAGGCAATGTTGATTTACCAAGGTGTTAATTAACAAAAAGTTGTTTGCTCAGGGGTGACCGTTGGTAATTCCCGAAATAGATGGGCATCCTTTTCAAAATCCTTCATTTTCTAAATTTCAAGCAATATTCGGTTATTTGGCACAATAATTGTTCTCCCACATTCATGTTAGGAGGTGAATATTATTGGCTTTAATAAACGAGCATCCTCTTCAACTTGACATCCATAATGATTTCTAAATTAAATAAAACTTCGAACTCCAAATTTCCAAATTCTTAAATATAAGGTAATCAACTAGGTATTAATTTCTGGGCGTTGTGGGGTGCTAACCTTTCCCATACATAACTGACTGTCGAACCTATTTTTTTGTTTTTGCAAACCCAAACTTGATATTTTAATAAAAATAAAATATTTTATTAAATTACCCGATCTTTTGTTGTTCAATCGCACTTTAAAATGATTAATGGTGACTCCCAACATTTCACACAAAAAACATTTCAAAATATTTTCAAAGAAAACACCTAAGTCGTATAGTTTTTCCTCACCCAGACGAAAAACAGTGTCAACATGCTCCTTTTTGTGATTATACTAATTCTTGTGTTTATTTTCCTTCCCCCCTTTTTCACTACCGGGAGCATATTTACGGGGCAACATTGCACTATGAAAATATGAATAAAAAATATAGAATGCTAACACATGAGTCTTTGTTGTTGAGGTTTTGCGGCTTTGCGTTATTTTTAAATAAATTAATCGACGATGTATTATACTCTCACCTGCATTATCATAACTAAAAAAAATCAAGAAAATATAATTGACAACCACAAAGTATAAACATAAAAAAATATTTAGAATATGCATAAATAAAATCAAACCTTTGTACCTTGATGGGCGAATAACATAAAACAATGGTGACTTTCATCACTTTCTTCTAGAAATTCAATAACTTGCTTTTTAACTTCAATCTATAATCTCACACTCAATAAAAAAAAATCTCTATTTCAAAATTTAAAATTCAAACTCTAATATAAAAAAATCAAAAGAAAAATATCAGCTTTAAAAAATATAATGGAAACAAAACATAACTTTTTCAAGCATTATGCTCATTATATAAACAGAATAGGCACGATACAAAGGTGAAAGATAAGACCTAAAGAAAAATTAACCGTTGAACATAAATATAATCTGTTGATTATACCAAAGGAGCATTGAAAAACTAAGATAATAATTACTAATAATGACATTTTTAAAATAAAATAAAAATTAAATTAATATTCACGTTTATTTTAGATTTTGGTGTCTTTTGTTTCTTTTAAGTGTTGGCTCTATTTTATTATAATAGGTCATCTTTATTTTTATTAATAATACCATCAAGCACGTCAACACCAATATTCAGAAGAAAAATAGATTCAAGGATAAACGTTAATTCATACCACGAAAAAAAGAAAAACTTAATTTTTTTTGTCCTCCTGATTCCAAGACTTCGCCTTAACTAATTTGGATCAAACAGCGTCGTACATCTGGTTTTGGTGGGTGAATCTTTCAATAGAGATTTTTTTACATCCACAAGGACTCAAACTTGTGACCTTACTTGATATCAAGCTACTTACCACTTGAATTAATATTTGTTAGTAGAAAAACTTAATTTTAACTTTTTGTTTGGCAACCTTGAACAGGCGCAGACCCAGATACAGACCTAGTTTTATGTATGGGAAATATCATTATTCTAATATAAGATATTATGTGAATTTAGTGGCAAAATATTTTTGAGAATTATGTGTTACTAAAAGAGTAACTTATCTCGAGCTTAAGAGAGTTTTGTTTTTTGTAGTCTATTATAGATTTGGGTCTAAGTGTAACTTTGGTGGGTTATAGTTCGAGATGATAATTTTCTTTTATTAAGCTAAGGTGATTTTTTTTTTTGGATAAGTAGAAGTTTATTCATCCAAAAAGAAGCAGCAAGCTGCTACAAAGAACAAACAAACAGCCTATATTAATCCCCATTCTAGACTCAACCTCCTATTAACATCATCCATCCTATTTATATGACATCTATATAGTTTAATTCTAACAACCTATTTAATGCTACTTACAATCGTATCAGCAGAACGAATCACACCTCGAAAATGTCTTCGATTACGTTCCTCCCAAAGAAAATAAACAAAATCGGTCCACGCGAGCTTAAAAATATGAACAAGAAGGGATTTACCCTTTAGATTCAAAACCAACCACTGCAAGGCCTCATCCCAGCAAGTTAGCGTCTGTAAATGCAGACCACAAGCGTGCAGAATGTCTTCCCATATCACTCTTGCAAATGAACATTCCAAGAACAAATGGTTTCGAGATTCCTCATGAACACCACATAGACCACAGACATTAACAGTAACGATGCCAAACTTTGTTAACCTGTCTTTTATTGGCGATCTATCGAGAATCACCATCCAAGCAATAATGGAGAATTTTGGGATATGAGATGAAAACCATAGGAGCCTATGCCACCCAACCTTATCCCTCTGTCTCGAATTCTATCCCAAATCCAACCACCTCTAATATGTGGCCAATTAGGAACTGGAATGAACAATCTCCTGGCCTCCTCTCTAAGCTTAATCAACTTGTTAAGGATCCAATTAAAATGTGGTTTTCTGTCAACGTTCCAATAGTCTGCAAATTTGAAGCAGTAGTCTTTAAGCCAAGCAATCCACAGGGATCTCTCACTAGCCAAAATGTTCTTCACAAGCATCGGGCAGCAAGCCTTACACCAATCGACTAGCTTCCTTAGTCCCAGACCACCCTCGGACTTCAAGGAGCAAATCTGGCTCCATCTCACCCTGGCACCCCGAGCGGAATTATCACAGCCCTTCCAGAAAAAGCGCATGCAAAGCTTTTCAATATCACCAACTACACCCTTGGGCAGGATAATCTGTCTGCTCCAATAACCAAAGATGTTGAACAGAACAGATTTAATCAGCTACAACCTCCCACCAAAACTAAGATTTCTGCTCGACCATTGGTCAATCCTATTCTTTATTTTCACAAGGAGAGCCGAGCAATCTTTACTCGTTAGCTTCCGAGTAACCAAAGGCACTCTCATATACCTGACTGGAAGCTTCCCAATTTTGAAACCAGTGAACTCCTGTATCTGATCCAGCAGACTCCCAGAAACTCCACAAGTAAAGAGTTCAGATTTCATAGCATTTAACCTTAAGCCTGAGAGATAATAAAAGTTCTCTAAAATGCTAACCACCCCTAATAGTGAATCCAGTGAGCCATGGCAGAACAAAAGTAGATCATCAGCAAAGCATAAGTGTGTGAGAGAGATTTTCTTGCACTTTGGGTGAAATCTAAAGATACCATTACTAGCAGCCACATTCAACAACGAGGAGAGGACATTCATCACAATCACAATTAAGCTAAGGTGATTACAAAGTATTATCTGTTCTAAATATTCTTAATCATTTGATAACGATCGTTTAATCATCCTGATGCAGTCACTGGTGCTCAAATCCGTTATTACAAAATAGTATTTGTTCGAGATGATAAATTTAAAATTTTCTAAGTCAGTATAAAATATATGTTGCAACTCTTGGAACAATTTAATGTAATTTTGAAGAGTTTTTGTTGTGTATGGAGAATCCATATTTAATATGACTAAATCTTATGCCATCTATAATGTGGGTGAATAAAAACATCCTACATAAATAAATGATTACGAATGAAATGATAAAATAACGTATATGGATATATGATCTTCTGCTCTAATTTTAAATAATAAATTTTAGTTGTTTTATTTAATTTTATATGAAAATATAAAAACACTCAAATTATATTAATTATAATTTAAAGTAAAAATATTTTAACCATTTTCTAATTACATCGGTACCTGATTAACCTCGTAATATCAATTTGGAAAAAAGTTTATAATAAATATATAATCAAATTATATTAATTATCATTTAAAGTAAAAATATTTTAACCATTTTCTAATTTGGTACCTGATTAACCTCGTAATATCAATTTGGTAAAAAGTTTATAATAAATATATAGTTTAATTTTTATAATAAATATATAATTTAATTAAAAATAAATGACTAAATTATATATAAAATCGCGATAATAGATGTCTGAAAATCTTTACCCTTGCATTAGAATCATAATATTTTCTTCATTACATTAATGAGCCTAATTGTGCTATGAGCAAGTATATATCGGCGTTCCTTGATTCTTTTATTTAAACAACGGTTATATAGTTTATACAAGCAATGTGTGATTCACACATTAGATATCATGCCCGACCATCCTGATTTCGATCAGCTGAACATGTAAATATATGAATGCAGAGTAAACAGACCAAGTTCTAACATATACTATATCGACGTAGGTATATAACAAGTTTAATACAGTAACATGTTCTGGATAACCATTTACAGTACAAGCACATCTAATGACTGTAAATCTGATACAGTAGAGTTGGCAATTGCTTCCTGGTGGAACTAGCGAGCAGGTGCAGCACCGTCCCTGAAAAGAATATTTGCCACTGGTGATGGAACCCATGCTGGGCTGCCATCAATCTGTTCATCATTATGTTGCACCTCACTATGAATCGAGCTGCTACGTCGTCCCACCTTTGATCTCCCGATTCTCTTACCGATAAAAAATCCCACCTTCATCGTTGTAAATAGACCCAATGCAACTACAAGTGGCCTCACAGTCCAGTGAATATCCTCAAGATGATGATACTTTTTCATCAACCCTGGACAATTGTTAAAGGAGACCACTTCTACTTCAGCCGGATCAGCCAAAAATTCTCCCGGTTCTTCTCGGAAACTTAATCTTCCAGGGAACTTGATGACAAGGCATCCGTTCGGTAGGATCCAGAAAATTTTCCCAGCAGCCCAAATACTTCCATGTTTGCGAGGCCAATCAAAGCGCGGGCTAAGCACATTGGATTTCAGCCTAACAAACTGACCGATGCGGTAAGATTCTGCCATCTGAAACTCTGAACAACTCCCCTTCCAAAGAGTTTCCAACCCTATAAACCCAACAGCAACGGTTCCATCACGGTCGATGGAATGAAGAATGCCTACAGGTGAGTGCCTTTTGTCTTCCTCTTTCAAACGCACCCAGTCCCCGGCAGCTAACCCGAGTGTGACCCTCTCAAGTCTTGAAGCATTAACCCTTAACGGGTCATGAATGCCACGAACCCTCAACAAAACAAAACCATCATCATCTGTTCTACCCACCACGTTTCCTTCCGGAACATCCATATTTTCGGGTTTGCATGAGTTAGGTGGCTTTCTGGACCGCACTACGTCCCCCACTTGCAAACAATCCTTTGAAAGAAACCACTCTGTGTAGTCATAGGCAGTGTTGCTACTCTTTTTGTTCGACACCGTCCAATGCCCATCATCTTCACCTTCGATCTCTAAGCTGAAAATGTGGTTGCCATTAGCCAAAGATATCAGGCAAGTATATCAACATTGTCATATGAAATTGCTGCTCTGATAAAGTCCAACTGCAAAAAGATAACTGCATACTACATGATATGCCAACACTGTCGTATGAAATTGCTGCATACTACAAAACTGAATATATACATAGCAGAGATCTACCTGTTGAACACGCATAATATGTCTTTCATCAACGGGCGACATCTGAAGTCGTACTCAAAGCAGCCAAGAAGAACATTCTCAACCGGAGGAGGAAGGCCACTTGGAATCAGTGGTTTCTCCTGTTTTCTAACAACCAGGTCATAAATTTCATCAGCCGATTTCCCATGCCAAGGAACAACGCCAGTGAGCATCTCCACAATGCTACAGGCGAATCCCCATGAATCTGTCTCAAATGACAAAGGACCTCTTATTTCTGGTCGCCATTGTTCCGGAGCCATGTAGTTGGGCGTCCCAAGACTGTGCGTCGAATCTGCGCTAGGCAAATTAATTCCCAGGAGTAGATATGGAATGCCAATATCCCCTAAAACTGCCTGGTCAGTTTCATTAAGAAGAAAGTTAAAAGGTTTGAGGTTAAGAACCAATATCCCTTTCGAATGCAATTCCGAAATTCCCTGTGCCAAAATGACTCCATACCTGCAAACATTTGATGCAACAGATGTAAACTTATCTACTCTTTACAACCTTACATATAAACATACCGAAATGGGATATTTCTGGTAGACATCAAAGGAGGTTGACACCACCTGAGAACATTCGGAAATGGGAGCTTTCCTCTCTTAAGGCGCGTCATTTTATCTCCAACAGATCCCTCATAAAATTTCATAACAATACATATCTACAGGAGAAAGAAACCAATTTCTTAGCAAGACAATCATCTGTCGTGTATTGAACTAAAATCATCTATACAAAACGCAAAGCACACCTTTCCGCTTATTATAGAAATTCCATGAAGAGAACAAATATTATCAACATGCTGGCACTTGGAATACAAATCACCAAACTTGTCCAACAAGGTCCTCATGGCATCCTGCTTAATTGTATGCAACATCTTGATGGCTACTTCATGATATTGATCAGAATCTTCGATGGAACATTGATAAGTCGCTAACCAAACGTCACCGAATGCCCCCCTTCCGATCCTATGCCAAAGTTTCAATACAGAAGGGTCGATCCATGGAATTATCAGATTCGAAGCCTTGATTACGGTTCTAAGTTTGTCATCATCATCACCTTCCACAAACTCATACTCAGATAAACTAGCCGACAGAGCATTCACAACTTTCCCAGCCATTCCTTCACGAAACAGAATACCAATCAAAGACAAACAAACAAAGAAAAAATGCTAGCTGATAACGGTGAGCAAAACTCAACTCATTCGAAAAGTTACTTTTTTTCAACTTGATTCGAATAAAAAAAATACTCGAAATGTCTTCGAGTTGTAACTTAAAAAATTTTCTATTCCAAATCGAATTATAAAATACAAGCTCGAAATTTTTAATACCCGTAGATTAATTTTTAAGTTTTTGTATGATATATGATATATATATATATATATATATATAATCTTTTAAATTAGAATCAAACAATATAATAATAATATAAATATTTTCTATTGAATTTAAAGGTAAACTCGAAAACTCGATTCAAAATTTATAAACTCTTTTTACCTCCAAAAAGAATTTTAAGTTAAGCTCTTAATTCGAAATTTTTAAATCGACCCGATTGAATACTCACCCTTGTAAGCTGGTATTCAAACCATGAATTCCCTAAGCATCAAAATAGGATATATTACAGAATACTAACGAATTTAATGGGTATTATTTATGATTAATCCAGAATAGAATATGAAATTGAGCTTTTTTCTTTTTCCGTTAATACTAAAGGAAGAAAGAATATGTTTAAAATGAATATTCTGATCAAACTTTGTTCTGTTCTTCCTTTATTTTCTATGTACTAGAAGGATAATACTAGAGACAAGTCACTTTATTTTCCTAAGAGAACTATGGAATAAGAAGAAGATGAAAGCAATCATACTCAGAGACAAGATTCATGGCACGAGAACTAACCTTAACAAAGATCAAATTCGATGGGATGAACTGAGATGAGCTGAGCGAAAAAGAGAACAGTTGGAAGAAGAGTTTTGAGATACCGACGAATTAAAATGAAAGAAAAAGGAAAGATAATTGAGAAAGTCGAGGATTTTTCAGATATTTGAAGCTGAAACTGACAAACAACGAGTGGGAAAATGAAGAGTGTTGGGAAAGAACGAAAGCGAGAAAGCTGTAGAAGCAACTGTTACCTTTGAATCTTAAACGAGAAAACATACTAGAATAAAACAACAGCCATGAAGATTGGGCCCAAACTGGGTCAATTTACTATTTAGCCCAACAACTTTGTTCCAATTTTAGATAATCCTTTTTATTCAAAGTTAAGACATCAATTTACTGTTAGGTACCTCGGTATCCCTTTAATTACTCGCAAACTCACAATGAAGGATTGTGGACCTCTACTTGAGAAAATAAAGCAGAGATTGCATCACTGGTCTGCTCGGCACCTTAGTTACGCTGGAAGACTGGAATTAATACGCTCGGTTCTGTTCAACATTAGTAATTTCTGGTGTAGGCAGCTTGTTCTTCCAGCCTCGGTTTTAAAAGCAGTCGATCAGCTTTGTGCAAGGTTCTTCTGGAAAGGTGAAGATAAAACTGCAGCAGGAGCTCGAGTTAGTTGGGATAGTATGTGCCTCACCAAATCAGAAGGTGATTTAGGTCTGATTAATACATCAATTTGGAACCGAGCATGCACTATAAGCCTCATTAGGAAGGTTCTTGCTGGAAATGGTTCACTGTGGGTTGCGTGGGTTCACAATTACGTTCTTAAAGGGTAGGATTTCTGGCAATTTAAGGCCGGATCAAACGTTAGTTGGGGCATCAAAAGAATTTTAAAATTGAGAACTACTGCTTTCCCTTTAATCGCTTCTGGTTTCATGCGTACAAAGGAAATCTGTGAGAACATTCAGATGCAAGCGCAGAAGGTTATTTGGCAGCATCTAATATGGTATCCATTGTATATTCCAAAGCATAGCTTGATTGCTTGGATGACCATTTTGAATCGACTACCTACAAGAGATCGTTTACAAAAAATGGGAATTAGCACGGATGGTCTTTGTATAAATTGCAGCGCCCATCAAGAAACGAGAGATCATCTTTTCTCTAATTGCTTCTTGGCTGCTGGTATATGGAAATCTATCATTATCATGAATGGGATGAACTTTTCTGCTTTGACATGGGATGAAATGGTAGCTCGTGCTTGTTCCTCTTGGAAAGGAAAGTCCCTCTTAACTACCATTTTGAAGATATCTTGGAATGCTTTCATATATTTCTTGTGGCAAGAACGGAACCACAGATTTTTTCAGGTCGTTACCGATCTGCTGATGTTATTCTTAAAGATATTGTTGATGTAGTTGCAATTCGTCTTAGGGGCAAGACCATAAATCGACTTGATAATACTAACTTCTTTCTTTGTAATGTTTGGGGTATAGTCTAGCCAATCTTTGGTTGTGTAATTAAGCTGTCTTTGTATTGTTGATTGGTTGTTGTTTGTAACTAAACCTTGATATTTGGGTAATAAAATTCTGAATTATCCAAAAAAAAAAAGTTAAGACATCGGTAAACTATCTCCAAATTCTAAATTATTCTTTACACTTCATATATGCTTGACATACCCCTAGCCACCTAAGCTGATGACTAGACTGATTTAATGAGCATATTGAAATGATATTGACAGTCTGAAGATTTAATAAGAATACTCTAAAATTTAAGGATTAATTTAAAATTTGAGCCATAGATCGAGGATATCTATCTGAATTAACTCTTTTATTTAAGTTTAAAGAAAAATAATAATAACTAACAAGTACAATGATAAAAAATACTCTTAATAGTTGGTTAAATAGTTACTTTGACTACTATTCTTTTTTAAAATAGTTTAACCTCCAACGTTTCATTTCAAGTAAAAAAGCTTTTAAGTGGATGAAAATCGTTAGTCAGCAAACGGTTAACACTCTAAAATAAGAGTTTTCCCCCTAAAATAAGACTTTGAGGGTTAAAATGATCTAAAAATAAAATAGGAGCTAATGTGACTACTTCTTCAATATTAGGGGTTTTTTTATCCTAAAATGAAATGTAAGAGATGTGACTATTTAATCAAAATTCAGGACACTTTTGACATTATGCAGAACTAATAATATGATTAATGGCTTTCATAATTTATAAACCTTTACAATCAAACTGGGGCTACTGAGGCACAATAAAGAATCAGCGTGAAGGCCTGAGGACGATTTTAATGGTTTATGCAGGTAGGGTAGCATGAAATAAATACAACAATATTATACCAAAATAGAACCAAATTTGAATCCAAAACTTCTAAAAAGTTGCAAGAACAAGCCAAACCCAAAGCAACAGTAGCAGTAATGCATTTAGGCAACCTCCCTAATCTCCCCTTCATTAGCGCTTTGGAGAATACTTTGCAGTGCCCCAAAGCTGAAAGAGTTTCCTACAATTCCCCACAAAACTAGGACTCTCTCTCCTTTGGCAAACTCTGCCTTTGCTAGATCCTTTCCTTCTCGAATGCGAGGACCAGCCTCTCCATAAGTGACCGAACTGGCATTCTTGTTGTACAATCATACTTTGCTTCTTACCGTTGCGAGCCTTGCATCGCCCACCGTCGATGTTATCATCGTTATCGTCTTCTTCGCTGCTCTGTTCGATACCTAAAGTGCACGTGGAGCTTTGCATTGAACTGCATATTTCGAATTGTGTCATCATCCATTGTTTTTATTGAGGTTAGAAAGTAGGATAAAGTAGACATATGGTCCCCGATCATAGAGTTTTATTTTGTTGAGTCCCGATTATTAAAAGTTACAAAATGATCTCCTTACTATAGTTTGTTGCTTTGTTAAATCATCCGACTATTAAGAGTTATAAAATGGTCACCCAACTATTTATATGTTCTAAACTCGTCCTTTTCTGTTAAAATATTAACGGCCGTCTGAGCTGGACATTAATCTGTTGACTGAGATATGATAAAATTCGATCTTAGAACCGTTTGAGTTGTATTTCATAGATCAACCCTCCCTTTACATTATGTCGTCAAACTAGTGCTTGAAAGCAACGACAATACTAATAGACATCATTAAATTGTGATTTTATTATATTCGGGTCAGTAGGTTAAGGTTCAACTCATAATCGTCAATTTTTTAACGAAAAAGAACGAGTCTCAAACATATGAATAATTGGGTGATTATTTTATAACTTTAAAAGTCGGGAACTCAAAAATATAGCATCCTATAGTCGAAGACTATTTTATAACTTTTAATAGTCGATAACTTAATAAAATAGCACCTTGTAATCAAGGAACCATTTGTATATTTTACCCTAAAAATAATGGTTAAAACAAGAAAACGTTACAGATATGATTGTTTGTGGGCAACCATCCGTTTCTTGGATTGAATTTTTGTCAGGTTATAGCCGGAAGAGGCGTGCCTAATAAAATGGAGCTGAAGACAAAGAACAAAACCCAGAAATACACTCATTTTGGGAATAAACATTACGTGAAATCATGTTTAAAAACAGAGGAAACATGACATGGTACAGACCTGATCACCGTCCTTGATGCCATAGTTCATCATATGATCAGTTTCTGTGAGCAACTCCAGGCCATCATAGCACAAGCAAAAATGTCCCCAAACATGCGGCCTCCATTGTGCAATTCATATGGATCATCACAAAAGGAAGGGAATTATAAGTCGATAAAGACATGAATCAAAATTCGTTTGGTTCTGTATTTTCTTTACCAATGGTTGATAAGAATAAGTTGGTTTCATCGGTCGTGAGCAATTCATCCCTTTTAATTTGGATGGAGACAGTGCGAATTTAAGAATTTAAAATTAGGGTTCAAAAATTTTTAATACTCTTTTTTCAATCGAAATGGGTATACAAAATTTCTTGTTTTCTTCTCCTTCCCTTAATATATTGAACTATATTTAAAGACTTATCCAAAATAATGGGTATGCACTTGGCCCCCTAGGAAGCAAGTACATCCTCCCCTGAGTGGAGAGTTGAGACCGGTAAGAAAACAGTTGTTGGCTAAACCTTTTCTCTTGAAGGGAATTAATCATGAAGGAAGAAGACAATAAAAAGATGATAGGAGTGGACAAGGTTTCGGTCCTCTTTTTCGACTACGTTTAAGGGAATTTATAATGAGTTTTAGAGAATGTGTCAGTCATCTATTTATTGTGATAATTTGTAGGTCGACAATTTAGACAAATTTAATAGTTAGATTTTGAATTTACGAGTTTATTAAAGATCTCATTTACGAGTCTTGTCTATGTGAAATAGTTGACTAAAAGCCTATCCTCAAAAACTCGGATAGGAGATTTTTGGAGACCATTCTTGGAAGGTATAACACTAATCAACGTACCATGAAATCTTGCCGGGACCATTCTTTGGCATATGACTAAAGACGTGCTGAACAGCCAGCTTGAGCTCGGCAATGGTGGCCGACCTTATAACTTCGACATCTACAAAATGAAAAACAAGTTAGAGCATGCGTAATAATTTCATTGGGATCTTCATTTTCCAGTGTTGGATGGATTCCCAAGAATCTGCAAAAGAAACCAGAAAAAAGTACCGAAGGAAGAGCCATCGAGTTTCTGAACGGTGAGCTTGATGGGCTCTTCGGGAAGCTTAGAATAAGAGCAACTTTTACGAGAGAAACCATTGACATCCACCGGGGAAGGTAACGGCAACGAGACGGACCGCCTTGGCTTCTCCAAAGAAGCCCTTGGGATGGCCAAATCCTGCACTTGGGTTTTCAACATGCTGTCCGAGGAAACAGAAGAAAGCAAAATGACACACTTTCGTGTCTGAAAAAACCATATATCAAAGGTTCTACCCATTTTTGCGAGATGGTGTGTAAGAAGGAAGCAACTTGATTCTTTGGGAAAAGTCTCACGCACCATCGTGAATATTGAGGAAGCTTGTGTTGGGGGAGATTCTGAATGAGAGAGATATTAAGAGAAAGAAGAATGGGCCATTTTGCCTTTGCCTTTAATTTTTGAATTTCACTGCCAGCTTTTTGCAGGGGCTCAGTGGAGAAGAAGAAAAGGGAAAGGAACAATTTCTTTCGAGAAGGTTGCTTGGCTGACGAGAAAATTAGACAACCATATTATTAACCAGGAAAGGGAGAACTGAGTTCCAGTCTTAAAACTGCATGGTCCAATGGGGACAGAGTAACAAGACAAAATGAAGACGAAGAGGAACAAGAACATTTTTTTTCTTTTAAGAAACAAAACAAAATATAAGAAATATAGTTATTCCTAAAACAGATATACCCTGGGATTAGTTGTATGCTGTCCAAACTCTAAATTATACAAAATTTGTAACAGTAAGCAGGTCTCAATCTCCTGTACATAGAATGATCAGCAACTTCTCAGTAAAATTCCAAGACATTACTTATTTCTTAGCCATGCCAATCATTTCGCCATAAGCTTGTAGTAGGAATACAAACCAGAACCAACAAAACCCAGCATTTGCCCCAAAATATTCATTGCAGAAAAAGAAGACATCAAGCCTCTTCATATTAGTGCAACTTAAAAGAAAAGAAAAAAAAATAGGTTGTGCGCTTACAAAATCAAAGGGAAGCCCACCAAAAAGTATCCATCCAAGCCCAATCGTAAAAAGATCCTACAACCATAGTATTAACTACCAAATCAGATCATAAATTTGAAAATATGTACCTTTTTTCTGATTAGAAAAACTCCCTTTTATCTGCTTCAAGACAGTATATATGACCAAACAGGGGCATTTATACATGGAGATCTGAAATGCATCATCATACCGAGGTCAAAATAAAGCATTGAACCAACAGTTAAACACCATACAGGAGAAGACTAGGGAATAAAGACAAAAATTCCAAACACAGAAATAAGTACCTACAAAGAAACAGGAATATGATTGGAATAGCAGAATAAACCAAAAAACCAGGTGAGGGAAATTCATTGTACTCTTCAAGTCACCGTGAAGAAATGCCCACAACAATAAAACTGGTCCACATATTTTACCTATTTTCAAAATTCAGTAAATTTGAAGTACAGATGGGACCAAAAATTATGTTGCCATGCAATAAATGGATATTTGATTCAAGTCTTTAATTCCCATCACACCACATAAGCCCAAAGCTATTAAGCTCACTAGATTTCCCTGAAAAAGAAGAAATGTAGGCAAGCACACAGCAAGAATGTCATAATATTGAAGAGGACATGTGGTTAAAAGAACTAAAGAAAAGAAATAAAATGGTGAGGGTATTACCAATACGGGATATGGTTGCAAGATAACTAGCTGTGGTGATGTTGGCTAAGAAGACCATAGCATCTCCGTGCAAGTCAAATGACAGATCCGAGCTCCAGCAACAAATGCGCCAAGAACAATCAATCCAACACTGATAACATCTGGAAAATTTTTATGTTAAACAAAGAAATCAGAAAAAATAGCTGATTAAGTAAAAGTTACCCTAACAATTATGAATTAAAAACTTTATCCATCTAGTGTTTTGAAAACCACCTTCTCAAACTAACAATTCAGTACACGTATATATAACTAGAAGAAATGACAATCTCAAAACTAGTCAGAAATCAGCAGAATGCAAATAATATGTGTCAACATTTTGCCCCTATCCTTTTTTGGAGCATTTTTAAAGTTTTATTTTGGAGCAAAATGCCTTCTGGTTGGATAAAAATTATTATTTGACTAACTGTGAATGTTTTATACGGACGTGACAAGTCTATGTATAATGACACTTCAACAAAAAATATTTTTAGAGTAAATTATAACTATAATTAATACATATGCACTTATTTAAAAATAGTTTAAAAGTATTTTTTTTTGTAATGTGACATCACACATGAACATATCTCATCAATAAAAAGCATTAACCGTATAACTTATCTAAAATTGAAGAGCAAAAGTCCACAAAAATCTTTATTGCATTACGCAAATCTATCTAACCAAAATATCTTTATAAATGCACATTTTCAACTTATTAAGTTATATGGAAACAAAGGTAATAGAATAGCTGTTGTGAAAAAAAGCTAATTAACTCATGAAATCAACAAGCAGTAAAGTAAATAAATAAAACAAGATTTAACGAGATTCGACAATGTGCTTATGTCATCGGGAGCGATGAGTGGTTGTTCTCTTTATTATTCTCAATAATTCAAAATTAGGTTGCAATTATAGTATATAATAGTAACCCCGGTACAATTATAAAAATACTCGCTTCGTTCACTTCGCTTACTCCGCTCCATCATCTATCCTCCAACTGGTATATGAGTCATACCTAACAATAGCAAACATTAATGAGGCATGTCTAATCTAAACATCCCAAAGTCCCTTACATATATTCCAACGAGGCAAATTTACCAACATAAGATAAAGATGATAGAAACGCACGGCTTGAAAAGCTAGAATCACTGACTGTGTTGGTTGAAGTGGTAAGCAGTTTGATATCGTTTAAGTAAGGTTTTATGTTTGAGTCCTTGTGTATGCAGAAAATCCCCGATGGAAGACTCACATGCTAAAGCCATGTGTACGACTCAAGTTGGTCTAGATTAGTCAAAGCGAAACCTTAAAACTGGAGGGCAACAAAAAAAAAATTCTAAAATTACACCGTTACAACTAAAGAAAAATAAACATAGAATTACGTTGACAATGATCCCCACTTGATCATATATCTTGAACATTGATGGACCACACTAATCGCATGCAGAGTTTACGCGTTATCAATATTATATCGGAATAACAATGAAATATCATGCCACCAGCTTACAGCAAACCTTCAAACAATTTTGCTTCATTTTCCACATTACTGCCCAGGATGTATATGATAATTACATAATGAGTTCCTCTCATAATATTTACTTATACATTACACATAAAAAGTTAAAATTAAATGACGACTTTATCACCTTAATAATTAACAAGGTTTTACCTTAATAATTAACAAGGTTTTAAAATCAATAGATTTGTGAAAGGAAAAATGAATTGTATGGGAAATCTAAGGATAGAAATATATACCAAATTGTTAATCGGAGAAGTTGGCATAAGTATGTTGTATAAACTTGATAAATTACAACAGCAACAAACCCTTGATTCCATAAAAATATATATAAATTTTCTTTTAATGACGTAGTCATCAAAATCTCATATGTGCAATGAATGCAGCAGAGATTAAAGTTAGACTTGAAAAATTGAATTCTTTTTTAATTTTGAGTTATTCGAGTCAACTCGAATTTTTTATTTCGAGTCGAGTTGAAATTTGAGAATTTCAAGTTATTCGAGTCAACTTGAATTTTTTATTCGGTTTTCGAGTTCTATTCGAGTTGGACTTGAGAATTTCAAGTCACTAAAAAAACAAAATTTTGGATGAGTATTTTGACGGTTTTGCGATTTAGTCCATGAGTATTCCTTCAATTCATCCATCATTTTAAGTCCATTTTTTTTCCTTAATGCCCAAATAAGTGCCCAAACTATGCCTTTTGTGCCAAATAAGTGCCTATATTTTTTTGGCCCATCCGGGTGGCTAACATTACAAATGTTAGCACTTTAGGTGCCCGAGCCGTCATCGGCGTTAGTTTTTCCCGTTAAGTGACACATGCCACAACCTAGTAATTTTAGAACTTTTATATAAAATTAAAAAAACAAAATTATGTATTTTTTAAAAATGAAATCACAAATTTTGAAATAACCCCTAAACTTTGAAAACCTTCATTTCAACCCCTAAACCCATGCCGCCCACCACCCTTTGTCGTTGAAGAAGCTCCACCTAACCTCGTCTCCTCCCAGCGACCAAAACCCCTATGAAATCGTGATTGGTTGACGACCGATCAACGACAAATCGACATTTTAAATTCCACAAACCCTAGAATGAAAATCATGATCCCACACGATTCTGATGGTGAATCGGCAACTACTATGGTGACATATAATGAGGATGATGGAAAGGACTACATCGGCAGAGGTGGTCGTGGCCGAGAAGGCGGCGATGGCGGATTAAGTTTAGGATTTGTGATTTTGGGGTTGTTTTATAATATAAAAAATCAGGGTTTTTTTTATAAATATAGTAATATTTGTAATATTTTAAAAAATAAATTTTAAAATTATCAGGTTGTGACGCGTGTCACTTAATGGATAAAACTAACACCGTTGAGGGTCCATGCACCTAAAGTGCTAACGTTTGTAACATTAGGCACCCGGATGAACCCTAAAAAATATATGCACTTATTTGGGCATTAAGCCTTTTTTTTACCAAATTTGAACCACATACTCCTAAACCATTGTAGAACACATTTGTACTTCAATCTCTATTTTTGTAACAATTTTTCTATTTATTAATTTAGTCCATCAAGTTTTTATGATTTCCTTATTTCTTTAAATCATCCTTCATTTTTTTGGTACAAAAAAAGTTTAGGTCAGGGTGGCTCCCCCAGTCCAGGGTCAGGGCATACCTAAGACTCAATTGAGATTTACATAGGACTTTACAGATTGTCCACCAAGAGTGACGGTGGTGGGATTCAAACTTGGCCTTACAAGCTCAAATTTTTTAATCCCAACTACTTGTACCAACACTCGTCGGCTCAAATCATCCTTCATTTTAAGTCTATTTTTACTAAATTTGAATCACATACTCCTATACCACTATAAAATACCTATATAACTTAAATTTCTATATATTTTTTTACTAAAAATGTACTCTTTTTTAATTTAATCCCTTTAACTTTACATTTTACTTAATTTGGGTTTTTTTAACTGTAATTGTTTGCAAATTCTTTCTTCCATCAATTCCTTGACTCATTTATACTTTCATCGATACTTTACGGTCAAAATATATTTTTTAAAATATATTATTGTATTTGATATATTAAATAACATTATAAAGTGAAAATAATATGATTGTGGTTAGAGAAATTCAAAAACAATTAGAATCAATTTGTATCACAATACTATAAATAATTACAATTATATTTATATAGAAACTCAAACAACTCGACTCGAGTCGAAAAAGTTTTAAGCTAAGTTTGAGTAATAAAATATGATTCATCAACTCGAATAACTCAAAAATTTTTGACTCGGCTCGATTGAATGCTCACCCATAAATGCAATTGCCGTTATTTATCACTAATAAATTTCCTCGTGAATAAATTTTATTTACTGAATTTTTCCATTAATCTGGTCTGTGAAAAATAAATTTTGAGTAGTTGGACTGAGGGGTTTCGAACCCCTATTTCTTCGTGAGCTAGCTCGTGAAAATATTATTTTATTTATTTTAAGTTTCAGTATTACTCAAAAATCTCCAAAAATTGAATTCCACAATCCATATCATGATGCCCTCTGTCACCCCTTGATTTTGTTTTCAAATTCTCGTCGCCCGACCATCATTGATGTGTATCGCCACTGCCATTTGGAGTGTTGTTATCCGGCGACCAAGATCCGACAGTTTTCACGTCGGGATTCGCCACCAATTGTCGGGAATTAACGATCAAAGAGCCTTCGAAAAACACCATCGTTGCCTCAATTTTTTGCGTTTTTCGACCTCCTCTGGCCCCCGTTCGTCCCACCGTCGCTGTAGCTAGATCATTGTATCCGTGCGCTCGGAACCCGACCGAGTTTATCGCCATCGCCGCTATTTTCACCGATCGCCAACGTAAGTAAGTTCGAATTTGATTTTCAGTTAATTTCCTTGGTTTTTGTTGAAATTTTTATCGATATTGGGTTGTTCAGTTGTTTGGATGATTTGGGAGTTTTCGACTGACCGACCGACCCCCATCGTTATTGTACGTGCTGCCATGCACCGACAGTGCACGTGGGGCTCATTTTTTGGTCCAAGAGGCTTCTGGAACTTGTCCAGTCGTACCGAATCGATTCAGTATAATCGGTCTGAACCGAGTTAACCCAAACTGAGTCAACTCGTTGACTTTGGCAAAAAAGTAAAAATTCCTGAAAAGTCATAATTTATGTTTTTCAATGTCCTGAGTCCGAATCCGAAGTCCATTTTGCCAAATTCAAACTCGATAAATTATTTTTCAGTGTTTTACCTTTTGATTCGATTCATTTTCCACAATTAAGTTCCGTTTCTGATGAAATTTTTGTTTATATGTATCTGAGATATTATTGGACGCTGGATTCAAGATCGAGAGTGATCGAATTGAGTTTAAATGTTTGATCGATGGAGTACAAAAATCGAGGTAATAATCTACTACCTTTCGTATGTTGTATAGTACACATTGATAGTTGGTAAATGCATGAATGAGTTCGACTGATCTTATGGATACCTTTAATTAGTGTAAACCCGGTATGATTAAGATAAGAAGGTAGTAAACTATATAAGACTCGAATGACTCAAGTAAGGAATTATAATATAGATAAGAAATAAATTCAATTTCAATGATTAATCAATAAATCAATTGAATTCAAGATCCTTTAACTTTGATTATTTTCGTTAAAGGTTAAATTTCGGATATACATACATAAGAATTACGAAAATACCCTGAGAATATGTATTTTGACCCGAAAAAATTAATGACGCACCTTTTAATTCCTAATTTATTTGGAAAATATCTTATAATCAGTTTTAAACCTCTAAAAAACACAAAACCTATAAATTCTTATTATTGAATAAACACTTAAAGCCTAATTTATCGGAAATATTACCACTGACAAAATTGAATAGAATAACGATAATACCCTTAAAGTGTAAAAATGACTATGGATGGCTATGATAATGGATACGACATGAGAACTCATATTTTGATCTACTTGAACCTTGGAATCATCGATTAAATTCCCGATCTATTTGAAAAACCCCAAAAATAAACTTTTACATTTAGAATTTTTAATGCGACGATCTCCTTGTTTTTGAATGATCATTTGAAAACTAGATTACTGAAAGTACGACACATGACTGAAGTATTTAAATGATGGATTATCCTCAAGTTTTGAAATAACTAATGTGTCTGGACCCCAAAATGACTAAAATATTCTCAAATATTGAGATGACCTAAATACCTTTATGACTTGGATTAAGTGAATGTCTTTAAATAGACTATGAGAACACCGATGAACCTAAATGATGTACTACCCTTAAAGGTTATGGAGCACGACCCAAGTCGTCGAACATTTTGGATACTATTACAATATAGAAATAAAATAAATACTAACGTAATACCTATTCCTCTCATCAAGAATTGGTCAATGATGATCCTGATATTGATTAATTCAGCTAGTGCAATTAATATTAAGACGTGAAAAATAGTAAAGTATCACGATTCGAATGATTGACAAATATCGCAGCGTTGAGATCTATAGTCAATTGGATTCGAAATCCTAATAATTCAATATATAATCCTGAATACCACAAATCATTGCTCTACCCTTAATGAGTTAAATTAATGAGAATTCTCCAAGAATGAATAATTGGTAAACATCATTTTCAGCTCTAATCTCATCCTTGTAAAGGTATCTTTTTAAGTTAACACCAAATACCCTTTTAATGAAGGAGGAGCCGGCACCTTCCATTGCTTAGCAAAATGTAAAACAATGAAGCTAAGGAACAAAATTGTGGAGCCTGTCAAAACAGGCTGTTCACATCACAAACAAATGCAAGCCACCAAGTTGCTTCTCCATTACTCCGATAATCAAGCATGAGTAAACAACACATTTTCGTTGAGAATATATCTGATTCCCAATAATCAATTTTCATATTTATCTTCATAAATTCAATTGGTACAACTATATTTTCTTTTTTTACAAAACAGTGCAAATAAATATGGGGGAAGGGAAGCTAAACTAACAAGTACCACCCCTTCAACTAAGGGGACTTAAACCTTCAATGCCACCTGATCTTGCCATGTTATCTTCCTTTTCCCGACTCTGTTTGGTCTGTTTCCGGTGTTCCAGCAGGCCGATAGTTTAATATCATTGTGCTGCTTGTCATTTCCGATTCGGATCGAACTGCTCTTGAGTTCCTCTATTCTCAGTGAGTTATCATTAGCCTGTAGTTCTTCCTCCTCTGTCTGCAATGGAATAAAAGCCAAGAAGAAATCAAATCAAGATCAAAGCTTATATAACATGCAAATTTACAGACAATAACTCTACTAACTACAAGTAGATTACCGAAATCTGGTTTAAATCAAAAACCGGTGCTATGCTTCGAGCAGCAGCCTCCTTTTCGCTGTAAAGCCTTTCCTTCTGGTTCAAGTAGACAGCCGGTAAAGAACTCCGCAGAGCAGCTTCCTCCTTTTCACTGAAAACTTTCTGCTGCTTTCGGTTTAAGTCAATCATCGGAGGACGACGAGTGAGTAAGGTTTCCTTTTCACCATAAGTCTTTCCCTTCTGGTTCAAAACAAAACTTGTAGCTAGGTGTGGCATACAATGTTCCTTTTCCGTTGATTTCTTTCCCTTCATATTCGATTTACTTCTGATAACCATATTCTGCGGCGGTGCAAAGAATCGATCCGCAGGGTTGTTCGAAGATCGGTTTTGGATCAAGAATTTGTGCCTCCTCCTTAAAAACCTAAGAACAAAAAAAAATATGATCAAAACTCAAAATATTAACTCCATATTAATAATCACAATGCTAATGTTATGCAAATCATACAAATTTAAGGAGGAACAAGATCATTACCGGACTTCAGCCAACAGATTCGATTTTTGTTCTTTCAACATCTGCAATTTCTTTCTCATGGCCTCTGTTTCCTGAAAGAAAACACAGAGGAAATTGTTGAGATTATAATCAGGGTCTATGAACAAACTAGCAATTCCACAACGTGAAAGCCATGAAACCTGAGGATTTTGATGCAAAATATCAAGAATTTTATCATCAAACTTTGCAGTAAACGATATATACAATTATGTTGATCAATCGAACCTATGAAAACTCACTGGACCAAAACTATAGAGAGGACCATCATTTGAAACAATAAGATCCAAACGATCGTGTCCGACTCTTATTCTTAAAAGATTAAAGACATGAACATATACCCAGAAGAATAAAAACACAGATCTAATAAGAACTTAACAAAAGCAACTCAAAAACTAAACAAACAGCAAGAAAGTCGTTACCTTGTGTAAGTCTTGAAAGTCTTGCACAAGGCTCTGGTGCTTGAACCTCGTTCTTTGATCCTCATACATGGCGTATGGAGAATACTCCAAAGAACTAGCAACCACTTTCATCTTCTTCATGGTTCAGAACACAGGGATGATATTAAGAGAAGAACCCCACACAAGGGCTAAATTAAGCAAATATGGAGAAGATAAAAGGGATGACAAGGAGGAAGAATAAGGGTGATTGATAAGAAAGAATGAGATTGGGCATGAAATGATAAAAGGGAAATAATAAGTATAGAGAGAGGAGGGTTCTGGCTTTCCTGTTCAATCTGTGAAAACTCTGACCAAGACAAAGAAGACCACATAATAACTGGGTGAAAAAAATGTAACTTTAGAGAGTTGAGACAGTGATGAAGATGGCTTTTTTCGGGTGGTTGCAGAAGGGTATTTCTGGTAAACATGGGTTTTTGGATGGAGCACATTTGAAGACATCTACATCTATATCTTCTCTTTTTTTCTCTTCCGCCTACTAAACCATAAATTCTGGTCCAGCTGATCTGAGCTGGGCCATTGAAAGAAATAGAGAGTTTGGTGATGCGTGGACTCTTGGAGGGTGCGTGGAGTTTCCATGCTTTCTTTTTGGTTTGCTGAAAATAAAGCAACGAAGATAAAATAGGATGACGATGCTGTTTTCTGATGTGTTTGTTCTTGTCTTGTTGGTGCTGCCGTTGGGGAGTTTCAGCTTCTCAAGGTACCTTATTTTTAGGCGACGATTCTCTTTTGGGATAATGCCAACCTTACCCCCTCTTTTTCATTATATATCTATTTTATTATACTTCTAAATATTCAATGTAACCTTATTATTTTCTTGCCTCGCTTGTTAAACGAACCGAACGCACACGTACTGATGTATGTTTATGTTTATTTATTTAATAAATAAACGAACATAAATGAACACGAACATAAACGAACAAATTTTTTTTTGTTCATGTTCGTTTATTAAGGAATATAGCTTGTTCATGTTCGTTCATTTAAACAATAAACGAACACGAAAGAACGAATATAAACGAACACGAACGAACGAATATAAACAAACACAATAAACGAACATAAACGAACAACACAAACACACAAAAAACTTATTCGAACACAACAAAAAAATGTAAAAAAAAGTAAACAACAATAATAACAACTTAAAATTCATTAATATAACCTACAACTTTAGAATTAATTTGTTCGAATACGACAAAAACATACATAAATCATAAATAAGCTATATTAACATAATAAAATCTTAAAGTTAATTTGTTCAACAAAACAATCTTCTTGAAATCCAAACAACTTCAATAATCTTCGTAATATATTCAACTTGCCCTCTGTTCGAACATAAATGAACGAACATAAACGAACATATAATCTAACGTTCACGAACGTAAATGAACGAACATAAATGAACAAACATAAACGAACATATAATCGAACGTTCACGAACGAGCCATTTGTTCATGTTCGTTCATTTAATTAAACGAACGCAAAATCTTATTCATGTTCGTTCATTTAATAAATAAACGAACATAAACGAATTTCCAGCCGCACGGTTCATGAACAGTTCGCTGAACGTTCAGTTTATTTACAGGCCTACTTGCCTCCACTAATCTATACAAATTTAGAAAATTAAATATTTTAATTCAAACTATTTAATCTATTATTAATTGAATTGAAATATTAAGTTTAAATGCTACTTATATTCTTATCAATTTTCAAATTAAATAAATTATATTTTTAAAATAAATATTTCAACTCTTATTTATATATATATATATATATATATATATATATATTCCAAAAGTTAATAAATAAAAATAAATTATAAGGATATTAACTTTTTTTCAATAGGTAGCAGGATGAACCGAGAGGGTGTTGGGGTGCGGTTGCACCCCTTAAAATTTTCAAAATACCTTATATTTTAAATTATACCTTTATATTTTCTATTGATTATTGAATTTCGCACCCCTAAAATTGTATTCTAAATTTTTTAATATAATTTCTTAAGTTCGCAGTTTGACATAAATTTATGCATTCGTCCTTTAGTACATGACATATGTATAACCGTAATTTACTATTTTTTTTATAAAATTATTCAATAAGAATTAAACACATGCTAAAATATAAAATTAATATTAGAATAAATTAATTCATTTTTTTATTTTTAGAATATAAATTAAATAATGTTTAGAATTGAATTTATAATAATTTTATTTAAATTTAATATTTTAATTCTACTAACAATAAAATAATATTTTGAAATAAAATATTTATTTCTCTAAATAGAAAGATGAAAATGAAATTTTTTAATAGTTTAAGGTGGTTATAAGGTTGTATTTGTTTAAAAAAATTAATTGTTATTTTAATCATCAATAATATATATATAATCTTACAAATATAGTTGCTCAAACACAAAACTTTAAAAGAAATAATATTCTTTTAACTACTAATTAATTTGAATAAACTTTTAATATAGAGATTAAGATGATTTTTTAACGTAGTAAAATTTTTAATAGACTTTAATCAAAATTTTAACCCATTTTCTTATTAAATTCCCTAATTTACCCTTTGCTTTCCTTGGTTGTCAAGGATTCTTTATTCTCTCCCACCACCTTCGAGAGCCCCATCATCTATTAAAAAAGAAGGGAAGTTTCCCCCTGCCATTGAAAGTGTCAAGCTAGTAATCTCCCCCATCAAAATCCATTCACCAAATCTATCCAATGAAACCAGCAATTCATCTGTTATAGTCCATTTGAATTCATGGTTTAAGAAAGTTAGGTCTAACCGACAATGCCCTAACTAAAGGCAAAGAAGGAAATCGAAAATATTAATAAAAAAATATATAATATTTTTAAAGATGTAATATAAAATGTTAAATTTTTTTAATATTTTTCGATTGTACACTTTTTTCATTATTATTTCGGTTATCTTCTTCATAAAATTTTTGTTTGAACCAAAAATTATTAAAAAAGTTAATATTTTTCTTAATATTTTTGACAATGTCAATTCTCTATTGTTCCTTAATTTGACTTTCGTATAACACAGCTTCCGGAGAAAGCTTGAACTTGAAAGGATGGTGTGGGTGTGGGGAAACAGCTCTTCTGCTCTTGGGGTTCTCGTGAAATCTTTATTGTATACACCAGTGTCTGTGACCAGATTCTTGCTATTTATTAATTAAAAATTTAGCAACTCTATCTAAAAGACACAACAAATCACGTGTTGATGCGTATGAATGTTTTTTTTTTTTAAAAAAAAAAGAGAAAAAAAAGAGTTTGGGGTGGGGGCGAAGGTTGTCGGTTGTGTATGAAGGTATTACTGTCAGTTTTCAGAAAGAGGGCACAGGGAACACTAGCTTTTCCCTGTTTTGAAAATTGAATCGGATCGGTTGGTTTAATCGGAAACCGTTGTTTAATCCACTTTAATTTAAACTGGTTAAACCGCTATTAATGAATCGGCCAGAACCGCTGAACCGTTCGAACCAGACCGGCTGAAAATCGAAAAATCTGAGAAAACCCGAAAAAAATTGAGATTTTTTTTTAAAAAAAAAAATTAAACCAAACGTCGTTTGTTAAACGAGCCAAGTCGAACTCGATTATTGCTGAGCTCGACTCGAACTTGAAAACTTTAAAAGTAAGCTCAACTCAAACTCACAAACTAAAAATTATAAAGTTCAACTCAAACTCGAAATATAATATTGAAACTTGAATTCAAAAAGGCTTAACTCAAAAAAAAAAATTAGAAGCTCGATTGAAGCCTAAAATTCGAACTTGATTGAAGTGAAAAAATAGTTATATAATTTTGTTATGATTTTTAACCCCAAATTTATTTTTTAATTATAATTATATAATTATATTTATTATTTAATATGTTTTACCTTAAATATTATGTTGTAGTTAATTTAAATCATTTTGTTTAACTTGATTTTATGATTTTTTAACTTACATATGTTCTGACTTTTTTTGAATATAACTTGTGATATAAAAAATTATCTTTTATTAAATATTTTTGATATTTTTATTTAATTTTTTAAATAATTATTGTCGACACTTATTTTTCGTCTCATTTTTATTATTATATTATTAATATTATTAATACTGTTTATTTTTTATTTATCGCAGACTTTACAAATCCAAGCTTAATCGGGCCCTAAATACAAAAAAAAATTAATTTTAACCCGATCCAGTTGGAGCCCAGACCCGAACCAAACTCGACCCGAAAGATGACCCACTGGAACCAAATGGAGCCATCGATTGAAGAAACCACCACCGAGCCATCGAAGGTTGTCATCGCCTGCGTCAAAGAGCACCTGCAGACAATAACCAAATTATCCACCTAAAAGCAGGTCAAAAGCAAATCATATACGGGATTTTGTCTACCCCAAATCAAATTTTCACCTACTCTTACCTAATCCATCAGCAAATTCAAGGCAGTAGGGGCAGCATATGATGGAAAAAAGAAAGCAATTAAGGAAAGAGGGAAGAGCTCTCGGCAATAAAAGAAGAGATCACAAACGCAGAAGGAAAAGAGGGGGCATTCATCAAGAAACAAAAAAACAGAGAGATTTGTAAAAGGGTCTTCCCTATCTACATTTTTTGTTTGAACCGAAGTAATCAATGAAAAGGTTCTATCCATTTTCGAAAAGAAAACAACAAAGAAATACTTATTTTTCAGAAGGTTTTGTTTTATTTTTTATATTCAAATTTTCTTGCATGCAAATTTACTTGAGTAAATAGAATAGAAATAGATAGATAAGGAAGCGTTTACCTTAGAGAAGAGTCTCACCGAATTAGGTTGCAGTTCATTAGGGAGTTTCTAAAAAAGAAGAAAAGGGTAACAACTTATTTTTCTCCCATACTCGAAATAAACAGAATAAAGGAGAGGGTCGATTGAGTTTACCTTTGGGTCGGGTATCCCCATTAGATCTCAGTCGGAGTCATAGATGAATACTGTGGAGGGAAGCTTATAAGTCAGAGCTTCTTTCTAGGGCTTTCATGATTGATAAAAGATTGTTGGGATTCTTTAGGGTTTTGATTTAGAGTGGAAGGAAAGATGTGGCGTAAGTTTAAGGATATACCGATTTAGTGGTGACCAGAGTTCAAACCGAGCCGAAGTTTCGAGGGATTTGGGTTTCGATTTATTAGCTTTTATGGGAGCAATTGAAGTTTACTTGGACATTTAAATCTCCGATGGACATCGAAATGGAAGCAACGCCGTTGTTCTGGGGTCTTTTAGGAATGAGTAGTGCTGCATGAGAGTGAAAGGAAGATGGGTAGCTGAGGAAGGAGAGAAACTGCGCAAGGGAAGCTTTTAGAAGAAAAGATGGGAAATTGAATGAGAATTAGGATAAAATATTACATAAAATAAAATATATATCTTAAAGTACTAAAACAACAACATTTCGATGGATGAGAGATCCCGTATTTTAGTAAAAAGTGAAATTTTTAGTAAGCTCCTTTATATTCTTCAATTGTTGTATTTTAGTTCCTGAAATGGATATTTCTGAGCCTTTTAATTTTGTCTTCCTAGTTTATACGTTTTTATTTTAGTCATTTGTTAGGTTATTTAAATTTACAGTTTTTTTTTACATTTGATATGCAATCTTTTATT